AACCGTAAAACAGTATATATTGTCTTCGAAAGTCTTGGGTTCCACACAAAAATGATGCCGTGGTTTGGTGTGCGTGGTTCTCTTTTTGGGTTTTGCCGGCCACTCACTCTCCCAGCTCAGGCAAACTCTTCGGCCTCAGCCTGTCGCAAGTGTTGTGGGCCTTGCACAGGCGGGGATCTCGGGTTGGGGTCCCCGGTGAGCTCCATGGGTTGCATTTGAAGAAACCCAAATCGACCAAGGGCCCTACCGAAATCCGAACGTTGCGTTTGGGGGACGGGAAGGCCAGTGCAAGGTTTGTGGTATTGAGTTCAGAGATTCCCAGATAGACTTGATTTATGATTTCCTCCTTGAAAGCGCAGTTTGGTTGGCGATGGTTCAATGGGGCAAAAGAAAGTGGAGGGGGGAAGGGAGCATTGGACCAGAACCAACCCAGACACAGCTGAGGTGCCAGCGTGTGCCGGCTTCACACCGATGTACTATCCTTGAATGCCTGCAGCCAAACTGGCCATCCAGACAGAGTCCTAGTTTGGACGCACACCCAGACCCACGCATACCTAGTGCTAGAAAGTCAGCTGGCTCAATTACAAAGTCAAGTGGCGCTATGGTCCCCATTCTAGTTTCACCTTGTTGTTGTTGTTGTTGTTGTTGTTGTTTTTTGCTGTTGTGTGTTGATTTGTTTGTGTTGTTTTGTGATTTTGCTTTTTTCCCCAACAGCTGCAAGCTTTGGGGTCTCAGCCCAGATAGGCTCCGGGGTGGTCCGGGGCGGCCCTGAGGTAAGGTTCCACGAGGGTTCCACCAGGGTTCCACCAGGGTCCCACGAGGGTCCCACGAGGTTCTGCGAGGGCTGCGGGGTGGTGCAAGCACTAAGAAAAAGAGCACCGCATGCTGTTGGGGATATCACCTGAGCTTATTGTGTTTTTTTGTTGGGGGGGAGGGAAATTATTTCGCCAGGTTTGGTCTGGAGGAGGAGGCTGAAAAGCTTTGGCAAGAGGCCGATCTCCGAACGCATCGGAAATGCTGGCGGAGTGCCTCCTCAAATCAGTCGATTCCGGGCCCTCTCAATCTCTTTTTGGTTCTTTGGGCTCGCCTTTCAAATGAAACAGGCCCAGTTTGCTACCAGGGTCACTGGGCAATCGGATCATAGACCCAAACTTGATCTCCGGTCCAACCACCAAGTCGGTGCCAGTAAACACTAAATCAGAGCCAGCATTCGTCGATTTGGGCGCTGCCGAATTTGGTATTCTGATGTCTTGCAGGTTGCAAGGCAGGAAGAAATGAATTTCCCGTCCGGAGTTCTGACGACTGGATGAAAGTCTGAAACTGTGGCTGCTGGTTGCACTGGATAGTTTGACTGGAATTCCTGGACTTCTGCTCTGTTTTCTCCCAGCGAACTCCACTCAGAGCTGAGCGGCTCAAAGAGCTCCAAGATTCTGACGCAGCTGTGTGTGTGTGTGTTTTTTCCCCTGATTCCCTACCTGATCAAAATTATCCATGGCATGTGTGGAGATCTTGGGTTGCACATCTTATCCGCTTCCGACAAGCCGTGCACATGATTAGAGTTGTAAGGCTGTGGACGAGGAAGGTGTTGCTTGGAGGTAGCCCACCCAGTCCGCCCGTTTGCTGCGACTCTCCTACAAGGTCAACAACCCTTTGATTGCAACCCTTTGACTACACGACTGATACCTGTCATCATTTGACGTGCCTGTCATTCATTTGATGTGACTAGTCAGCATGCTCAAAAGGAGTCAAGTGGCAAGCCAGACATCCACCGCAGTTGCGTGTTGGTTTTCTGCTTCGCCAAAGGGGTTTGCTTTGACAACCGCTGTGCCAATCCAGGACAGACCAACGGTAGGGCGAGCTTGCAATGTTTACATCGGCCTGTTCATTTCCCTGTTCCGCACTTGGTTGGCAGCTATTAGCCTATATTAGCTTGCCTAAAAACTGCCTAACAACCTGGAAGGGCAGTATGCGGTTAAGGATAGGCCGTCCCTATTCAGGCTTTCAGCATCCGATGCCAATTCTTTGAGCCATGAAGCCCACCGAAAGCGGGAAACGACCAACTGTCCGGAACTTTGGCAATTGATCCTGTGACCTCACGCAGAACGCGCGTTTCTTTGGGGGAGGTTCCCCGATTTCAGGTTTTCCAAATTTGCCCAAACTTCGGGCCCAGGGGGACTCGCAAGGCCCAAGGCCGCGCGGGCCGGGACGCCTTCGGCGAGAAGCTGCGCCAAAGCTCCGGCGACTCTGCGCGGCTGTTGCTGCGCATGGCGGAGAACTGTGAAAGCCCTGGGCTGAAGGCGCCACGAAAAGGAGGGGTGAAGGGATGAAGGGATGAAGGGATGAAGGGATGAAGGGATGAAGGGATGAAGGGATGAAGGGATGAAGGGACGGAGGGGAGGGGCATGGGGCGGATGGGAGCAGGGAGTCTGGAAAGTGTCAAAGGAACCTCACAAGGCAGGGGGACGGTAGGAAGTCTCGAGGGATGAGGAGAGGGGCATGTGGCGGATTGGGGGGAGTCTGTAAAGTGCAGACACAAGGCAGGTGTTGCATTGTTTGAGGTGGGCTTGTTTGATTCACCAGGATCTGAAGCAATGTGTTGAATTGGGGTCCAAAGCTGAGGTAGGAGTTGTTGGTGTTATTCAAGTTGCCATTTTGCAGCTTGCCGAGTCCTAAACAAAGCATGACGCTACAGGTAGATGCAACGCCAGAAGCGAGCGCCCCGAAAGGCGGTTCTAATGATTCGTTTGGAGTGGTTGCAGGGGAGAGTAGACTAGATCCTATCGACCATACCGGGAGGGAAATCTTCGACACTTAGCAGCATGTGTAACAGTCGCGGTGGCAGAATTGGTGATGGCAGTTTTTTGGATGGTAGAAGTGGTGGTGGCAGAAGTGGCAAGTGGTGGCAGCGGCGGCGGCGGCGGCGGTGGTGGTTGAGGTTGATAATGTATGACATTTCAATGTAGATGTTCATTTTGCAAATAGCGGGCGTGTCGCTTGTTGCCTGCTACTTTCAAGCAGAGTGGATGCATTGGTGGATGGATTCAGTTTGAGTGGAGCAGTTGTGTAATTGTTTGGACTAAACAAATCATTGAAGCTGGGCACTGCATCGGTCATATGCCGTGCTTTTTCGCGCTGCCCCTCGTGGCTACGTGAATAGGCTGGGGTCAGCATGTGTGCACAACTAGGTCCAGCCACGTGCGGTAGAGGTGTACGTAAACCTGGCAAGGCTTTCCAGGCTTGGGATGGGAGGGAAGAGCGCAAAGAGGGCAAGCCACACATCCAGTGGGAGGCCCCCAAATCTCGAGAACACGCCGCACGCAACTTGAAAAAACCGAGTTTTCGGTGATCAAGGCTACCTACCTTTTGCAAAGGTTGATATCCTTTGCCCATGTCTACCATGTGTAATAATATGTGTCAACGGCCATGTTCGGCACCCTCCCCCCCAAAAAAAAGGAATAAAAGCAACACCTTCCTGTTGGTTTCCCTTTAAGTCAACCTGAAACGGGTACCCTTCGCCTCCAAAAACGTGCACGAACCTCCTGTGACTCCTCTGGGGGGTTCACCCCCCGTTGGGCTCTTCCCGAGGCGGCGGTGCTGAACGCCGCGGCGCTGAAATCGGAGCCAAAGGCGGCGGAGGCGATCTTGCGGCAGATGGCGGATCAGGACTGACGGGCGCACGGGGGAGTTTGGAGTGAGGTCTCCCATGAGACCCCATGGGAAACCCACACAGAAAAGAGGTCTAGTTACCCATGTTGCGAGAAAGAAAAAGAGCAAACGAATAAAATATATGAGCACTTTGCTTCTCAATAGGAAGGGCCATGCAAATTGCGATTTCGAAAGTTGGGAAGCGACCAGACACATACAGAATATGGAGGTTGGGACCCTCCCTCCAGTCCAAAACGGGATAGGTGAACCTCAAATGAATATGAACCAAAAAGCGGACGGGTTTCTAGAAAGAACAAAAACACAAGATGGCGACGGCTTGCTCTTTGGTTTCCCCCTTTTAGTAACCAAACGGGGTTCCACCATTTTAAGACATTCCCAAATGGGTGCTGGTGTATTTGTTGGTTTTCCGTTGTCGGGGCCCCCACAGGATTCACGAGCGAAACGCGGGTGATTGGAGGATAGACAAGGCCCTTGCCATGAACGGGCGCAGCAAGACGCCGTACCGTGGATTTGGGGCTCTTGGTGGGCCAGGGGTTGCTGAAATTGAGCATCCAGTTGCCGTGGTTTCTTGTTGTCCACAGGGTTTCACGGGAACGCCATGCTGATTATGGCCATCAACGTCTTACCGGTTTTAGACAACCACTGCAATGGTTGATCTTCATGGAACCATTTCCATGACCCAGAGGAGCGTGAACATGGCACGGATGCGTCAAACCATTCGGGTGGGTGGTTGCAATCCTTGTATTACCCAGTCCAAGGTTTTGACTGAGTTGATGTTTGATGTGGGCTGAACAGCAGCCACCACGGCCATAGGTTCCAGCTGTGGACGGCTGTTGCCCAGATTGTTCCGCACCACCCTTCGAAAAGCCATGACAATCAGATGCACACCCCACACACAACAAGAAGATCAGGGAAGTTTCTGGTGGGGGCAACACAACAGGCCTGAGGCCGTGGAACGGAACTGAATTGAGTCGACCCCAACAAGAAACGGTGTCCATTCGCTTCCAGCCGACCAGGCAGTTGATTCCTCTTCCCTTTTTCCTTGCTAAATTCCCTACTTTTTGTCCCACACATGGAATCTCCCCCAAAACGACATGACTCCAACGAGTGTTAAGGTTTCCCTCTGGTTTCCTCTGGTTTCCTATGGTTTCCTATGGTTTCCTATGGTTTCCCTATGGGTTTTCCGTGGTTTCCCTGTGGTTTCCCCAACAATGGGGTCCCAATGTCACTGGCTGGCGCTGTCCCAGGAGCTCTGGACGCCGGTGACCTACCGCCTCGCGGATCGGCTGAAGAGCCAGGTGCAAGGAGCGCCCCCGGCCCCGGGCTTGCGGGAGGCGGGGAACCAGCGGGTATCAGTCGCGGCGAATTGACCGGATCTAACCTTTTGTTCCCATTTTGGTCCAGTAGAGGCGCCAAAAGGTGATCGCCTTTTATGTCCGCCTTTGGACAAGTGAAGAACTGGAAGGTACTCTTCAGTTTGGTTTTGATGATCTTGTCTGCTTTTTGTCGGTGCAGTTGCGTATGTGTTTGCGAGTTTGCCATTTGCTTGCTTGTTCTTGCTTGCTTGCTTGCTTGCTTGCTTGCTTGCTTGCTTGCTTGCTTGCTTGCTTGCTTGCTTGCTTGCTTGCTTGCTTGCTTGCTTGCTTGCTTGCTTGCTTGCTTGCTTGCTTGCTTGCTTGCTTGCTTGCTTGCTTGCTTGCTTGCTTGCTTGCTTGCTTGCTTGCTTGCTTGCTTGCTTGCTTGCTTGCTTGCTTGCTTGCTTGCTTGCTTGCTTGCTTGCTTGCTTGCTTGCTTGCTTGCCTTGGCGTCGTTTAGCCGTTGTGTGGTTGAGGTCGTGCGGCTGTTGCCAGTTTGAGTTTGCGTTTTAGAATTAAATTAGGGAGTGCGTGGGCGCATTTCATGGTTGAGATTGCGTGTGTGTGTGTGTGTGTGTGTGTGTGTGAGTAGGTCAAACTCTTATTGTGAGCAGCAGGCTTCAGTCGAGTCAGTTTTAGTTTAGTGGCCTGGTTAAGTTGATGTTTTACTGATGTCTGTGTATTAATAAAGTGCGTTCTTATTATTTTGTCCACTAGCTGGAAACCTGGAGCTGGCAGCCGCAGTGAGCCCTTTCGAGTCAGTTTCATTTGGGGTAGCACGATGGTGCATTGCCAGGGAAGGGTTATGTTCGCTCCCTTGGCCCTTCACAGTTGAAACCTGGAATCTGCAAAGCTTTTTTTCCGCAGGCATCGCGCTCGAAGCCGTCTTCAAAAAAGCGCGTGCTGGCCGGCCGGCTCTGTTTGGGAAGCCGGCGGCCGAGTGAAAAAATGAGGCTGCGTAAAAAGGGCGCTAAGAGCCCTGAGCTAGCTGTCGCAACTCTTTCAGTCGCTTCTCGCAGGATCTGGGACCGGGCCAATACTTTCAGCAGAATTTCGCACACAGTGTCCACTTCCTCCTCTGATTTCGAGAGCTGCATGGAGTTCTGCCGGCAGCTGTTCAAGGTTGACTGACAGCCACATCGTCCCACAAGCTTAAAGTAGCTTGGGGTGTTGGTCCGCAGACAGCCATCAGTCTTTGAGCGGCTTGACTGCGGCTGCTCTCAGCGGCTGAGCAGCTGTCTTGCACGGCCTCGGCCCGTGCTTCCATGGACCTGGACCAGTGTCAGTGTCACTCAGCGGCAACAGCTTGAGCTGGCCTGGCTGAAAAAGGCTGCGGCAAGAGAGCGGTTCCCAGTCGACGAAGCATTGCTTCAGAGCAAGCCCATATCAACAAGAAGAACAATGAGCCAATGTTTTGCTGATTGCTGTCTTGCCGTTCGAGTATCTGTTTGAAAGACTAAAGTTACACATTGGACAGAGTCAACCTCAAGGCTAAGAGGCGAACGGCTGCAGGAGAAAGGCAACGACTGCGACGAGGCTCACTCAGTCAGGGAAGGCTTAGTCTACAAGCTACGATTTGTTTTTTTGGACTTTGGGCTCAGGCTGGAAGAAAAAAAACCTAGTAAATTATCTAAAACATTGCCAATGTCCCGTGATCCCTTTCCCCGCCCCTCCCCCCCGGAGTCGAATCAAAGGGCCGCTAAATTTTTCCTCTTCAGCATCAGTTCGGCCGTCGGCGGCCATTGCCGGGCCGCTGACTTTAAAAAATAGAAGGCGCCGGCCCCTCTCTCAACGGGTCAGTGCCCGCAAGGTGCACTCCCAAAGGCCGGTCAGGATCCGCTCCGCGTTGCCGCCGCCGCCGCCGCCCGGAGGGGGGGGCGGCGGGCCCCGTCCGCTTTTGTCTTGGGGATCAGCGGGCGGCGTCTGCGGGGGCGGATTTTTCTTGGTCTTCTGCTGCTTTGACTTCTTTGCGCCGCTGCCTTCGGGAGCCTGGCCGGCGCCGTAGTGCTCCTGCCACGCCGCATCTGCTTCCTTTCTGCCTAGCTTGCGGCAAGCGGCCCAGGTGCGCGACGAATCCGCATTGTAGGCCATCCAGGCCAAGTGCCACGCAGAGCGGATATGCTGCTGCATCCCCGACTCCCCGCCACGGACAGTCCTGGAGCACACCTGGCAGACAGTGCCGCCATCCGCCATCGACTCTTCGTCTTCCGCCTCCTCCCGCCGCCGCTTCCACTGGGGCGGCTTGGCCGGCTCAGGCACCTTGGACGACCCGGGCCCCGGGGCGGCCTCCTGAGCCGGGCCCTTTGGCTCCTCAGCCGCCTCAGCCTTGGCTCGACGCCGACGGCGGCCGCCGTCCGCGTCGCCGGGCTCTGCTTCGCGGCGCCGGCGCCGGTCTCGGCCATCGTCATCGCGCCGCTCACGGCGCCTTCCGCGGTCATTGCCGCGCGCGTCGTGGCTGCGGCGGGAGCGCTCCTCTCTCCGGCGGCTTCTGCCACGGGGCCGCAGGACGATCTTGCCATCGCGGTCACCGCCGGCGCCGCCTTTGCCTTTGCCCGCAGGCTGACGAGGCTCCTTTGCCGGCGGGGGATCAGCCGCAGCTGGCTCGTCGCCTGGCGACTCTGACTCCTCAGTGTCGTCGTCGTCGATGACTTCTTCCTCGGACGACGACTCGGGTCCGGAGGCGTCCACTGGCACAGGCTTAGGCTTTTCAGCGGGCGCCATTGCGAGGCTGGCGCTGACTTGACTTACCACACTTGAGCAGGCACGCGGCTGCAGCACTTGTTAAAATGTCATGAGTCAACCGGTGAGTGCCAGGACAGCGGCAAGTTCAAGCGTTTTTAAAATACAAACATGTTTTCAATCTGCCGGCCTACAGTTGACACAGTGACAATGCCGTGGGGCACGGGCGATTGGACAGGACGCAGCCACTTATTTTTCAGTCGCCGCTGGGCGTGTGCTTGCAGCTACTTACTATATTCAGCGCGGGCTCCGCGCAGCATGCCAGCCTAGACGGTCCGCATCGTAATTTCTCAATGTCAAAAGCCGACGACCGCAGCGCTGCTATGCGCGGTTGGCCTTGCCCGCCATCGTCGTCAGTGGTCCGCAGGGCCGCCCCGCAGGGCAAGGCCTCAGCCGGAATCAGCGGCCCCGCAGGGCTGCCCCGCAGGGCAGGGCCTCAGCCCGAATCAGCGGCCAGGCTGCCCCGCAGGGCAAGGCTTGAGCCGGCCCCGCAGGGCTGCCCCGCAGGGCAGGGCCTCAGCCCGCATCAGAATCAGTGGCCCCGCAGGGCTGCCCCGCAGGGCGCGGCCCCAGTTCGCCCGCCGCAGGGCTGCCCCGCAGGGCAGGCCCGCGGGGCAGGATTTAGCTCGCAGCCGGTCGCCGCAGGGGGCAAGGCCCCGCAGGGCGATTCGTCGTCGTCGTCGTCACGGGCGGCGAAGACATCGTGGCGTCGAAGCGCAATATTGGTAAGATACATGTTGAACAAGGCTTGTGGGCTGGGCAAAAAACTAAGCCCAAGCTTGTTCAACCAATGTCAAGTGAGCCGAGGTCAATAATAATGACAGCCTTGCTTCACAGGCATGTTTCAATACCCACGCTTTTTTTTCCGGCAAGCCACGACGCATAGCAATTGGATCGCTCACTTACTCGGGGTGGTAGGATCCCGAGCAGTTGTCTGAATTTGAAGGCATAAGCTCCGAGCATGCTGTTTGCAAGCAGTGTTCGGCCTCGAACGCCCAGGTAGCAACGATCAACATTTCGGCGTGATTATTGCACCTGTCTCTCAAATTCTTCAAAAACTTTTGGCAAGCTTTAAGCTCTGCGCAGGTGTCACGTGGCCTTAGCTGGGCCACAGCCCAAACTTCTGAACTCCTCGGAGAGACCGCGCAGGGGACTCGACGAGTTGGTCCTTCTTCAGGCAGCGAACGCCATGCGCTGCCAGTCGCAAAGAACAAGAGACTGGACAGGCGCAAGGAATTGATTCGTGTCAGCTCATTTGGCCTGGCGCAGCTGGTTTCTGCGACGAGAATCAAAGCGCGTCGCAGCTGGTCGACTGCCGCCACGGGCGCTACATCTGGCGGGCTGCAGGAGGGCAGGTGGAGTTCAAGCCTTTCGAACACGCTTGTCGGGAGGCGGTATCCATGATCAAGCTCTGGGCTCACGGCCATTGCAGCCGTCTATATTTTGAAGAGCCTCTTCGCGTCACCGCAGCGAGTCTCAAGAGCGCGGCCGATGACGTTAGTTAGTGCTCTTAGGTGACCGAGAGCGAACCGAAACGGCTGCAGAAAACATGGCAGCTGCGTGCTTCAAGTGTAGGCAGCTCGCCCGCGCGGGCAAGATGTTAAATTAACCAGGCGTGTCTCTCTTATTATTTTTCACCGGCCAGAGTCGACGACGAGGAATGCCAATGCGGCTGACAGCCGTGACAGTGACGAAAACAATTATAAGTCTGTGAGTCAGAAGTCTCTTACTGACAATTAGCAATACCTGCCACGGCGCGAATGTCAAAAACTTATGGGACCTATTGCCCATCACACGCGTGCGTGAAACAGACAGAGCTTTGATTGACAGCCTAAGCAGCGCCAAAGATTCACAATTCCGCAATGTCCACAGACATTTGCGCCAGCCGTGCGCCCTGGGCTTACTGCTCGGACTGCAGAGCGCGTCCGCGCAGACCAGACTCACCACGGCATGGAGTCTGAGCGCTCGTCTTCCTCGTCGCCGTCGCCGTTTTCTTCGGCAGGCGCGCTGCGCGGCTTCTTCTTCTTAGGCTCAGCCTCATTCTCTCCGTCCTTGCCTCCCTCATTCTGGTTCTTCTTAGACTTGGCCTTTGGAGCAGCTGGCGGCTTGCCGCCCGACTTTGGGGCTTTCTTGGGCTTCGGCTTCTCTTCGTCGGGCTCTTCGGCGGTCTCTGCGGCACTCTTCTGAACCATCTCTGGCCTGTAAAACGTCGAGGCTTCGTCCTGCATGCACTGGAGCGC